TTTTTTTTTTTTTTTTTTTTTGTACCAGGGAACTCTTTTTTCTTTTGTTTACTTTTGTTCTGGAGAACTCAGGACTTGCACTTGCAAAGCAGGCAGCAGCACCACCGAGCTAAACCCCCACCCTTCTGAATTCTCTTAAATGAATTAATTTACCCAAAATGTTAAAGGAAGTCATGTGGCCAACTTAATGAAGCAGATGCTAATTTTTCTGACTGTGATTGGCATAGAGAATTGGCTTCCTGAGGGAGGGTTAGTTTAGATCCATTCTTATTTTTCCTGTTGTTTGGACTGTTATTTTTTCTGATAAGCTGATAAACAGAATAGGAGATGATTAAAGGTCTCTAATTCTAACTCTTTTACTAGCAGACAGTAAAGTCAGGGTTTAGTGAAAAGATTCCTAATATTTTACATCACCCTAGACTTTGGGGAGAAAAGCCCTAGCAGCTGGCTCTGCTGCCTCTATTATAATTGAAATCTTATTTGATCCAAAGAGGAAGAATTAGGCTATAATGTCATTGAAGGAACCGACTCAAATGGAAATGAAAGCTTCATTACAGTAAAACATCTTGCTGAGGGCATGGTTCAACTTAAGAGCAAACTAAAAGACTAAAGAACAACTGTAAGATTTATTTCAGAAAATCCTCACTTCTAATAGGAACTACAGTTCTAATATGAGTTCCAGTAACTCAGCTTTTCTTCTGCTGTTTTTACTGTACTTTCTACTTTCTTAGACATGTATGATTATCATGTGCAGTCTTCCACAAGAAATTGAATTTTAAAATGCCTTTGAAAAGACTTCAACTTATTTAACCAAGGTCGAGATACACAAAAATAATTTAATACGAAGCCAGCCATTTCAGAAACTCTGGTGATTACATCTTCAAACTAAAGGAGAGTGGATCCTATGCAAGCAGGAAAGGGAGACATTATCAGCGCTGGAATTGCATATGACACTCTAAAATTTCCTGGCAGGTGAGTGGGAGGCTGGGAAGGTGGGAAGCCCAGACATGTCCCAGAATCAACACTAGGAGTGGACTTTTTTTTCTTCCGCTTTTGGAGGGAAAAGGAAGGGCACGAGAGTGTTTCCGAGGGCCCGACCCATCTTGGAGGGCCCGTGCAAGAACAGAGGTGCCTAGCTGCTGATCTTGGTGAGCATCTTGTTGATGGCCTGCTTGACGTGCGTGGTGGAACTGCGCCTCCTGGTCTTGCCCTGCACCATCCTCCTGCGTCGCACCTCTCGACACAACTCATAGAAGATCTCTGTGATGTTCCCTTCGCCCGTGCAGGCAGAGCACTCGTAAAAAGCACATGCCAATTCTGTGGCCAGTTTCTCCCCTTCTTCCGTACTCACTTGTCTGGAGTGGTCCAAGTCAGCTTTGTTTCCAACCAAGATGAGAGTCACGTTCTTGGGCTTTTTGATCTCATCTAGGATGTTCTTCAGTGGCAGCACATCCTCAAAACTTCCCCGGTCGGTGATGTCATAGACCAGCGCAAAGCCCTCCCCCCAGCGCATGTGGCCTTCCCTCTGAATGGTGTCTTCCTGCTGGCAAAGAAAAACAACAGCTGGGACCCCTGGAGGAAATCACAATGTACAGATGCTGCTAATGCTGATGGCAATCATTAATTACTACCCTTTACATCCAATTTTATTAAATGCCTTGGTTTTCCACCTATACAAGCTTACTTTCTCCAATCACCTTGAAATGGAAGCATTACTTACAGCAAAATATTTCAGAGAACTGAAGTTTCTAATCCTAGATTTAAGTTTTTGTTAAAATATTTTCTTGTATCATTAAATCTGTGATCAATAAGAAATATAAATAAATTGTAGTCTTGGTTGAGAATATCAGCTTTGAGATTTTTCATTACAATAAGGGAATTAACAAATTGGTACCAGATAAGTAATCCATGACCCACACTTTGGGTATAAATGCTCAAATTAAGCAACTATTAAGGCCAAAATTTAGGGAGATTTTTTTTCTCTTTCTTTTGTCTTTTTAGATTATTGACAGCCCACCAGGACAGAATAAAATGACAAGCTGTATAGAGTCCAATTTTATGATAGGGGTTTGTTTTTTTCTACCTCAGTAACACAATATATTATGCTATACTGATAAAGACAGAAACTCATTCGAAGTGATTCTCAAAGGAGATGAAAGCTGTTCATAGGAAGGTAGCATGTATGGTTTGAAAACTCATCACCTTCACAGGTTTAAAGGACTTTTGGGGGCTGCCAAAGCTTCACAAAGGTCAGAGCATAAGAAGGCAGTATTGAAAAGAAAAAGGGTAAAATTCATTTCAAGAACATTTCTTGGGTTAACAATTGAATTTGCATCTCTTTGGGTCAGAGGTCATTGATGAATCACCATGGAAACCTTCAGCGTAACTCTTATTTCAGTGGTCATTTCTATATTTGGAAACTAAACTTATCTATGAGCCTTTCTATAATCTCAGATCTCACTAAGCACAAAGCAGATACATATAGCAGTATTACAGGAGAGATTTCCAAAATAAAGTATTATATTCTGAATCTAATAAACATGTGGTCACAGAATTTTGGAGTACAAAAATATACCAATTTCCTTCTTAATGATTCACCTCACTCGTAAGCGTACTAAAGGCTCTGAGAATTCTCTCAGCTAACATTTGTTTAAATTTATCTGAGCATTTCAAAACATCTTTTGCTGTGAAAACCAATTAGTATGTTTCTATGCCACAAAATATAGGTGGGATATCTTAAACTAGATATGTGAATATTATAGTATTTTCAAAATCCTCTTGAAGCATGGAACAAATTACATCCAAATAAATAACCCAGGCTATTAGAAATGTGATCTATGAAATGGCTGGATAACAGAAGGAGCAAGATTCTAGGCATACAAAAGTTAGTTGAAGGAAAGTGCCTTCATTTCGCTTATATTACGCAGGCATATTTTTATTTGATGTGGAAAATAATTTAGTTGAATTTCTATTCACCTGACCAGCAGTATCTAGGATCTCCATGGAAACAACTTCATCATCGATGGTTGCTTGGTGTCGGTAGGTTGATTCTGAGGAATGAGCAAATAAAGAAGGCAAAAACGTAAATAAATGCAAGATTTGATTTGGTTCTTAAAATGAAAGGGAAGATGGATGTGCATGAGTATAGCATCTTTGTACTTAGAGAGCTCTTGACAGTATTAAGATCAAACAAGGAGGCTCCTATCTTTCAGGGTATAGCACGGGGAGGACCTCTTTTCTTCTTTCTCCTCTATTCATTCCTTGTAAGGCTCCATCTTATTCTCCTGGGAGACCAGTTTCTTAATGCTTTTTTATATTTAACTATTCTTCTACATCCTAAAATGAGAAGGTGGTTTCCCACAAAATGCAGTCAGCCTTCATGTTTCTAAAAAACAGTTTCTGAAATCACTATTAATTTGTTTTCCTAACAAGGTTGTGTGCAGACAGGATCTACTATTTTCCTTCTAGTCCTTAACCTTGGACATTAGAAGGAGGTAAATAGATCTTACCGAAATGGTGTAATGCTATGAGAAAAATTTGAGGAAGTACAAGGTGATTGATAAGGACCAGTAACCTAAAGTAGAAGGAAGCCAAGCAGCACTGAGGCAGCAGTGCAGATTTTTCTTTCATGTAACCTCTTTAAAGCAGAAAACAGCAGCTGCTCAGTACCAGCTGGCGGTCAGTGAGTCAACAGCAGAGTCCACAAGCCATGAGGGGTTGAAAAGAAGCTAGTAGTACAAGAAGACTGAGTAGCCCTGAATTTAGCTCTCATCACATAAATGAAAACCTCAGGTCAAAAAACAAGCGCAAACCGGTGTTGCTCTACGTGAAGACCAGAACAATGTAAATAAAGGATTCAGTGAATGAATGATAAACAGAGATGATGGCGGGGGGATTGAGGAACTCTTCCAGGAGGTGTCAGTAAGTGATAAGGAAAATGCAAATTGAAAATTTAATAAGACATATGGAAAATAGAACCAGAGATGTTATTCTTTATAAAATGATTCTCAAAGGAGAGAATGAAATACATGGGAGGCATGGGAATATTTGAAAGTTGTAATGACTAAGAATTTCCCTGGATTAAAGCCATTGAAAGACTTAATTAAGGTCAAAATGACTAATAGAATACATGAGAAAAAAGTCTATGTAAATCTGTAGCAGTGAAAATGAAGGATATCAATGATGAAGAAAAGTCTAAAGGGATTCAAAGGAAAAAAGCTCATAACTTACAAAAGGACATGAGTCAAATTGACATTGGATTTCTTACAACTGAAATCAAATTCATAACATTCATGCCATAAAACAAAAAATAAACTCAGCAGAAGTAATCCCCAGTTATAAATTTTGAGTGATTACAAATTATCATATCACAGAGAAGACCAAAGCAGTGTTTCAGTAAATTTACACATTTTTTTTCAGGAGACCATCAGATAAAAAGAAAAATTAGAAAAAGTGTGCTAAGCACTCTACTTAGCAAAGAAGAGAAACAGAAAAAAAATTTAAAAGAAAGAAAAAAGACAAAATGTTACAATGGGAAAACTATAACTAATTTCTTTTATAGGAATTATACTGAGTTCATTAACAAGCAGTACAAGAATAACAAAAAGAAAATAAAGTTAAAATTTTACGGTCATTCTAAATGTGAAAATAATTTAAAATTCTAAATAAGTGATTATTCAATTGATTTTGATAGTATAACAAGTACATAATGATCAAATAGAGTTTTAGGAAAAAGTATTTAAAGCTTATCAGTGCAGTTTAACACATTAATGAATTAAAGGGGGAAATCTCATGGTTAACTCTGTCAAGAAGAAATTGCTCTTTTTTTTCTATAAAGCTCATATCTGCTTAAGATTTTTCAAAATGCTTAGAAAACTGAAAATAGGAATTCCTTGCCATGAAAAAAGGCTACATGTCAAAGCAAGAAAAAATATGTGCTATAATGTAAAAGTATAATTCAACATGAGCTATCAACTGTAGACAATGCAATAAAGCAGGGAGAAATAAATAAAAGATATAATGACAGAAAGGGAAGTTAGAGATCACTGTCAGTAGCAATAAAATAAACGACTATTTCTAGAAAGTAGTATAGAATGGAAAAAAAAACTGTTCAGTGAAAAAATTTGTAACTTCACAAAAAGGAAAAAAAAAAAAACAGAACCAAGAGTTGAATAAATAGTAATATTGTCCCTCCCAAAAAAATGGATGAGCAACAATTTTTACAGATTTTAATTTCCCCCAAATTAATTTAAAATTCAATGCAATTAAAATTAAAGCCCAGATTGTGGATCTAAATAAACTTACCTAACATAGCATAATGCAAAGTATGTAACATTACTAAAAACTATGATATAATACTAGAATGGACAAATTCATACACCAAGACCTTAATAATAGACCCAGGTTTGTACAGAAACTGAGTATATGACTGAGGTGGCCCCACAAAGAGAAAAGATTCGGGTGTGTTACATGGAGAAATAAATCTGGACCCCTCAAGACTGAAAGTAAATCCAGATTAAAGATATAAATCTATATAAGATGTGAAAAGAAAACTTAGTTTAAAAAGTATAAGACATAAAAAAATACAAAAACTCATGTACACTCTCCACAAAAGAGATTAAAAACAAATGTGTTGACTAGATTCAAATGATGAAATTTTATGCAATGTCAAATAGGAAAAACCTGGAGAAATAAAAATGGGAACCAAGTTTTGCAAATAAGGAGGGGAACAGAGAGAGGATGAAGGAAGGGGAAGGGGAGGGGGAAATAAAGAATTAAGATACATCACGTGCAGGTACAAATTCCCTGTGGTGGATGTTATCATTATTTATATCTAAAATGTACCAATAAAACTAATTTTGAAAACCTGGAGAAAATAATTGTAATAAGCTACTAATGAATATTTAAACTGCAAAGGAATCTTTAAAAATTGAAAAAGACAGGTGAACAGAAAGAAATTACAGGTAAAGTATATAAAAAAGAAATTCTCAGAGGAGGAAGACCAAATAATGAAAACATATTAAATGAAGTTTTACCTGGCTACTTACCAGAGGAAAGCTTATATAATTATGTTGCAACTATACAATTGGCCAAAATTAGACAGATAATATGATGCTTTCTTAGGTTATAGGGAGCTTCCTTGTACCAGCAATGGGGGATGCAGAATTGCTCCAGCATTTCAGAGGGCAACTAAATGCTATTAAATACATGTTTACCCTAAGACCTAGTAATCTTCCCCCAGGGATAAAGTACAGCAAAAAATCCTAGTCCAGGTTCTTAGAGTACAGCAGTGGTTCTGAACGAGTACTGTTTGGGCCAGTATCATTAACATCACAGCAACATGTTATACATGCAAATTGCCCCATCTACTGGGGCTGAGATCCAGCAATCTGCATTCCTACAAGTCCTCCAAGAGACTATGATGCACACAAAGTCTGAGAACCATTAACTGGAAGGAATGTTTCCCCCAGTGACATTAGCAGAAGCTCATGATGGAGGTAACTGGGGTATTTATCAAAGGGAAGACACGCTGAACACAGCATACCTAAGGAATAGGAGGCAAAAAACTAGATGTATATTCTAAGGGTAGAGGATGGAATGCTCTAGTCTTGAGAATCGGTACACATACTATGTATGGATTAGAAATTCTAGGAGAATGACAGTAATGCAAAACACTTATTAAAATGCATTGAACATAATCTAATTCCAAAATTTTACTTTTTGAAAACACTACAGCAGTGTACATGTTAAAGTATAACACTTTTTTTCATCTAACAATATGAATGGGCATTAAAAATCCCACATTTTGTTATTAAGATTAGAAATATGTATAAAACACAATTAAATTTATATACATTTTTCAAGACATACATAAGCCTATTTTCATATGCATATACAACAGCCAAAGCACACTGCTTATTATTTGAACAAGAATCGTTCTAAATGCTTTATTTATGTCAACTCACATAATCCTCACGAACATCTTATGAAGTATAGTTTACTCTTAGCTCCATGTTATAAGAGGAAACTGACCGAGATGTAAAATTGTGCAGAGTTATGAAGATGGTAAGTGGTAGATGTGAGATTTGAATCCACAAGTCTGGTTTTGGAATTCAGAACTGGAAACACCATGCTTAGTATCAAACACATTAGAATATATTTATGGGAAAGACAAAAGGATCCTCAGAATAGGGACATAGGGGAGAATAAAGAGAAATCAAATAAGGGCCTTGTAGCTACCAAGAAAGGCATGGTACCACAAAAAGAGTAAGATAACTAACACAGTTATTAACTTGAACTTTTGCATTTAAAATACCCAAATGACTAATCTCTCAAATGAATTAACCTATAATTTATTTTTTCATGGGGGCATTTATTATCTTTTTGTTTATCCAGCTAACTTTCTTCACCCGTTTTGCAGCTCTTTGAGACCACAGTTTTATCTTCCTTTCACTGCAAATATAATCTCATATCCAAAATGCAGAAAAGAAGCTTAATAGGGGATCTTAGCCTTCTACCTGTTGTACAATGACCACATCACGGAATGCACACCGCTGAAGCATTGCCCAGAAATTCATTTTGAAATGAGACTCTCTGTTCAATATATTTCAGTAAGCGTGTTTTTTATTACTGTCACTCTCATAACATGCATTCCATGCCTCTACTCTTTTATGTTAAATAAGTGATTATAGTTTCAAATGACTGAATGCTCTAAAATGCTATTCATAGCAGCCACTTGTCTTTTAAGTGTTTTCTCAATTATTGCAGACCGAGAAAAAGCCCAGATAACATCAAATATGCTACAGGTCCACACCCTTTTGGCTTTTCCGCACACCGTCCTTTGTGTCCTTTGTACTGACTTCTCTTTCTGAAAGACTGGCATTAGCCTTGGAGCCTTGAAAACAGAATTCTGGGCTGTATTCCATTTCTGCACCAAAAGTTGTCTGTGAGACAGGGACGTTTTTTTTCCATTGCTTCCATGATAAAAAGGGTGTGTATTTCAACCACAGAAGGCCACAGTAGGGGGGGAAGCAGAATAGAATGAAAATTGTATGAAGTTGTGTGATTCTCTGGCTGTTTGTTAACTGAAATGAAAAAGGGTAAAGTACAGGAAATGAGAGAACGTCTGCCCCAGACTTAGCAGCGGGTGGTAGCAGTGATTTCATCTAAGATGAATACTGGTTTCACACTACTTTGAGCATTTTTTTTTCCTGTAGGCATCTGTCTTTCTCATTCGGAGCCCATTTTCCTTACATATAAGACAGTGGAACTGTTACCCACAGATGCAAAATATTGTACATGTAAGTGCAAGGTTTTCTGAGATAGTTCTGAAAAAAAAAACAAACCTAAATACATGATGTAATAAGCTCTGCTCTTTGTTTTAAAACACAAAAGAAAGTATGTGCGTGTTTGGGTGTTGGACGTACTTTCCATTTTCTTCATATTAACAAAAGTGATAATTTGAGACTTTTTTTAAGGTGTGGGAGATGAATGTCAAGAAGGTCCTTCCAAATGAAACAAAATGTTACATACTCTAAGAAAAATACAGAAATTATATTTGAATTTCACTGTGTATGAAAGATTAAAAACCTCCATCCATAACATTTTTATAAACAGAAGTATATATTTTGTTCAGTCTGGGAGGAATTAATGATCAAAGAGGAATTGCATGTGATTAATCCTTATACTAATTTAGCTTTTTGCAAATTTCAACCCAGTGATATGGTGAACACAGGTAGGTAGCACTTGGTATGGCTGATTTGTGTGAAAGTAAAAATTCTGACTGACTTCCATGGATGGCCTTACCACAAACCAGCCACTCTTGGATTAAAAAATCACTTTTTTGGACCTATTTCCTTATTTGTTAAATGACTATCATCTGCAAGTTCCCTGCAGTGCTGAGACTAAATATTTCTATGAGTCTGCCGAGCACTTCTCTTTGGTGTCCAGTTGAGATCATTTGCTCTTGATGTGTCTTTTTCCTTGTACGAGCCTTTTCAAATAGAAGGGATCGTAGGGCTGGGGGTTTAGCTCAGTGGTTCCACTGCCTGTCTTGCAAGCACAAGGGCCTGAGTTTGATTTCAGGTACAAAACAAAAAATTAAATAGACGGGATTGTAAAGAAGGCAAGAAGAATCAAGGACAGAATCAAAGCACTGGTGAGTGTGAAATGTGAAACAAAACAGCAGGGGGAAAAATAACAAAACAAAAGAACTCCACTGGAAAGTTTTGGGATCATTTGTTACCATAGTAGCAAGCATTTTCTGTGGAGAATTATTTCAAAACAGTAAATATTCTTGTTAATATGTAGAATGATGTTCATAGTCTCTAGCCTCTCATGCAGCCATATTTCTACTACAAGTTGAAAATACTAGGCCGATGTTTCTGCAGAAGACACTGAATTCAGAATTCAAGAATTGTTTGCTTACACAAATATACTGCTTTGTTTGGTAATGAGCATGCTATTTCTTGCTGGTGGTTTTGAAGTTTTCAAAGTAGCTGTGTATTTAACAAAGGATCCAGTCTTCCCTTTGGTAGTGTGAAACTAAACCCAAGAACTACTGATTTCTGTTGAATCAAGTAGATGGGGTCTCTGCTATGCTAAAACATTAGTGATTCCCACTGCACACAGGCATATGCCCACATAGATCCAGAGCTAATGACACCCTCGCTTCGGGTGAGTCATGCACTGGTTACTCCTGAAGTGGGAGGAGAGCTCTGGTTGCTTAGCAGCTGCGGACCTCCAAGCAGGATGGTGAAAGGTCACTCAGCGAAGCTTTGTCACTCGTAGGAGAGGACAGCTGATGGAAGCTGATTTCTATTAATACAGGTTGTTATCAGAATGGCAAAACAAAAGGGAAAATGGTGCACCTAAGATTAACTTTTAAAAGTAACATCACTGGAACACATGCAGAGAGTTCAAGAAATGGATGGGATCATTTTTGTAAGCTTCGTCTTTCATTGAGATGTATGGATAGAAAAAACATACAATTAGTATTATTCTACTGAACTCTCATGTATCACTGAGATTCCAACATAATCTATATAAGGCTTATGTAAATAGCAAAAACGTAAGAGGAAATAAGTATTCAGCTGGGTGGGAAAAATAAGAATGATTTTCTAAAAACCAGGTTCATTTATTGATCTAAGTATTTTATTTTAAACTTAAAACATGGCTATATTTAAAATATGTCAAAAATTTTGAGGAACAAAATATTTAAGAGCAAAACCAAAGAAGAATACATACATGTAGAGATATGCTATCCCCTTAGATTGACAGATCGAATATCATGAAGACAAAGATTATAGTTTTAATTCAGTTCCAATTAAATTATGACAGTTGCTAAAACTGACCTTGGAAAATACCTTAGAGAAAGTAGCCAAAATAATTTTGCAAAACAGTAATGGAATATTTTCTTTCCTGAGAAATTGTTGTATAGAGCATACAATTATCAAAAGTCTGTGGAGGGGAGGGGGGGGTGAAGGGAGGGCAGGGACAAGGGAAAAAAATGAGAACAAAGACCTGTCATGTAGAGGTGCAAGATCCCAACAATGAATGTAACTGTACTGTATCCCTAAAATGTACCAATAAACTCAATTAAAGCTGAAAAAAAAAAAAGTCTGTGGGATTGGATGTGAAAAGTAAATCTAAGCTGTATCCTATTGTCAATGATTTACTAGATAAAGACAGCACTGGAACTGACATGGAAGGGTAGGAGCTATTGATTAATGATAGGAGGAAGGTGCAGGGTGTGATGGCCCAGGCCTGTAATCCCAGCACTTGGGAGGCTGAGGCAGGAGGATCGCTGTGAGTGTGAGACCAGCCTGGGCTACACAGTGAGTTCCAGAGCAGTCTGAACTACATAGTGAGACGCCGTCTCAAACAAACAAACAAAAAGGAGGAAAATTGATTAACCATTAAAAAAAAAATGCCTGGTAGTCACCTTGTACTTCATGCTAAAATAGTTGTAGAGAGAGTAGAAATTTAAATATTGAAGAAATAAAGTGATCCTCTTCCATGTCCAGTTCTCCTTCTGACACTTAGCACTACTTAACATATTTATCCATTTATTAACTCATTTTTACTAGACTATTGGCTTAAAAATCACAGAAGTTTTCTCCTTTTTCTGACTGATTGATCCTCAGTACCTAAACAATAGTACTGACCCATGGAAGGCAGTTCATAAATATTTTACAAATGAATGAGCAAAAACAGTGAAATAAAGAATGAGGGGGAAAGAAACAAAAGGCAAAAAAACAACAAAAGAGCTTAGAAATCGTCTTTGCCATAGTGTAAACATAAACACCATTGCTACTTTCAAGATCCACAAACATTCCTTTTTGTTTCTTGTTTTTAAAAACACACTTTAGTACAATTTATTGGTAACAAGACAAAGTGGGGAATAATTTATTCTTAACAAGACAAGGTAGGGAAGAGTTTATTCTTAAACTTCTCCCAGATCCGTGATTAGAAGTTTTCTTTTTCTGTTACTCTCCTCGGCATTTCATTCTACTCAACACCAGATTTGCTATGTCCATATCTTCCTTTCTCCAATTAGAATGATGTTTCCTTTTTCTGATGAGAAAGCATCACACAGCACCCAGTTCCTTTTTGTCTCAGATTTGACCTCATTTCCTCATTTCTGAGTTAAAAGCTTGCAGGGTTCTGTGCACAGACACAATGAGACACACAACTAGCCTCTTAGACGGCCTTTCTGAATGGTTAGATAACTCTTTGCACTTTTAAAACAGCTACAAGGGGCTTGAAAATGTTGCAACAAAATATGTCATCATTTGTAGGGTCATAATCTTTGATTAGTGAGGAGGAGGAAACAAAATTTGACCTACCGAGGGTGGGATCATATTCCCAGATGAATCTTTTGGTCAGAAATCTCACTACAAGTGCTGTGGAAGAAAAATAAGAACATGTCAATCAAATCTGTTAATTCACTAGCATTCTTCTTTTCTAAGGAAAGAGAAAAGGTCCATAAAACTTTATATGCAGTTAGTATTTCCTCAGTATACAAATCCAATAAATTTAATAATGTTCATTCAGATACTTTTCTAATTTTACATGATTGCTTAAAGACAAGTATGTGGTATTGGGTTTATTATACACTATTCAACAGCTTAGATTTGTTCCTTTAGTTACAGGGTTAAAAACAAATACCACAATGTGAAAATGCTCACATATAATTTTTTTTAATCAAAAATAGTGACTTCAAATACAAGCAGGTGCCCAGAGTTTGAATATTGATAAGATCAACACAGATAAGTTAAAAATGTGGTAATTTTGACTGGAATGGAAAGATCACTAGCTGGTACTGTACATTATAAAGAGCAGGTGTACAAAATTAAGGATTTTATTAAAAAGTTCACCAGGTAACACGGATGTGATTCTTACAGCCACAGTTCTGGAACTGTGTGAGGCATTTTAATGAATGATCACTTCAGTCCTCTTTCCACCCCTGCAAGGCAGGTACTCCCATTTTCTTTCTTTTTTTCCCTCCCTCCCTCCCTCCCTCCTTCCCTTCCTTACATGTGGACCTTAAGACTTGGTGGAACATTTGCTGATGATTTGCTTACATGAGTACTGTAGTTGGCAACTGTCAACAATGGTTTTTAATGTAAGGAAAATCTTTGAAGAAGGTGTCATAGACACTTTAAAAATAAAGGAAATCGTTAAATCTTTTTCCTGGGAAAGTGTGCACGTGCACTAACCAGCAGATAGTTGCAGCAGCCTCAGGAGCTTTCTCCTGATCCTTGAAGGGGGTCCCTGGGATTCCACCGACCTTAACTAAATAATCATCATCTATTCTATTTTCTAGTTAAAAAAAAACTATTATTAGGGGTTTTTATTTTTACCAAGACACTTTGACACAGTAGCCAAAAGATGCTCCTTGAAGGCATAAAACTGGTGAGCTGGAGGTGACTGTCAGTCTCTTGTCCCTCTTAAGCTCCGACCCTTGTGTCTTCCACGAGGGACCACAGCGCAAACTGCAATGAGGTCTGGGCGAGTCGGACAGACCACAGGCATCTGTGGCTTCTGCTGGTGACTGGAGACAGAAAGGGACAATGTTCTTTCCCTTTACGGAGTGAGAGGCTGGATTCAAGCCAAGTATCGCAGAGCCTAAAGCAGCAAGTCTGCTGACCCTGTAACCCTTCCCACAGCGAGCAACCTTGTGGTTATTATGTTTGCAGTCTTCACACTCCACCACCACTCATTCTCTTGAGACGAGAACTTTTTTTCCTTGTATGTAGGAAGCCCTAAGGTCAGACAGATATTTTTCTCTTTTTAAAAAAATTAACAACGTTAGTAAACGTAACTGCCCCAGTGATTGAAAGAGTTCCATCTTTTTTGGAACGTCATTTTCAACACTGAGGTTCACAATCTCTAGAAAAAATAATTATTTAGCATCCTTAAGGAAGAAGCCCTTAAAATTAACTTTTTCTTTAATTAAATGTGATGTTCCCCAACACTAAAACCATTTAAACTTTAATAGTTTCTTAAAACCTTTCAGAAATGTATTAAGACACCTCATTGCCTTTCGAAATTAAATATACTGAACATAATTGGACCGTTTTAAATTGGTACATGTTTAAGAGACATGATGACTGCATTTATCTCGGGGAATTGGTACACAAATACTTCATATCTCAATCAGTTTGGCTTCATCCTTCCCTCCTGGCCCTCCCCTTTCCACCATCTCCAAGTCCTCTTGCTCTCTCTATAAAATCTACCTTCCTGCTTCCTACCATTTCTCTATTTTGCTTTGTGCATTACTCATACAATTTAATCTGCCTCCCAGTTGGCAATAATTGCTTTTTAAATTATATAAAATGATATTTAGCCTCCTATGACTGATTCATTTCACTTAACATTATATTCTCAAGAATTGCATCATGTTTAAATGTTTGGATCTTGGATAAGAACCTTGTTTCATGGCCTGTGCTGTTACGCAGCACTATTTTTTGAAGTAGCAAAGTGGATGAGGGAAAACAAATCTATGGTGCTAGAGCTTTTGAGTTTCTAAGATTTTGAAGATGAGCATGCATATATAAATGGTTTCCTAACACACACTATATCTGTCTTCTTTTGCTTTGGTCACTAAAACTGCCTTTAATAACACACCCATACCTCCACTTTGTTATTTTTATTATGCTAAAGACTGATAAGCCATATCAATAATCCTGGTGCAGTTTGTAAAATATGGGAGGAAATTCTTTCTGGGTTAGGTCCTACAGAACCTCTTATACTGACATACACGTGATCTGACGACTTCCAGATACCATGTTTGTTGTGGATAAGTTGTTCCTTCTGACATCTGGGCTACTGGCTCAGTTTCCAGCTACATAAAACAATCTCCTTCCAGTGAGGCAATGGTGCTGGGGCTAATCCGTGTAACCATCTAAACATTTTAAATGTTCTTTTAAAGAAACACACATATACATGGTTACTTTAACAATGGAATCATGCATTTAATAATCAATCTATTCAAATGTATTAAAATACTATGAAAAATTGACATTAGCTAGGCATTCTTTGAAGATATTTTTTCCTGCCTCAAGATATTCATGGAAAAGACAGTGGCATCTAATTTTAGGCTTTCAATAATATTTTCATTTAAAATTGTTAGAGAATGAAAATAATTTTATATCTGTGCACTCACAAACTGTCCAGGCCTCATCATTATTTAAATTGTGTCTAAACTGTAGAGATGACATTCACTGGTGAAGTACAGAATGTCACCAGTATTACTTGGCCCCAAGTTTTATTGCTATTTTATTATGAAAGATGATTTTCATATGTGAAGTACCCTTGCACAGCTCACCTCCTCCCCACCATGGCAGCTGGCCCTGGCTTCACCTGTTAATAATACTCTTGTTTCCTCCAGGGTGGGTCTGCTTCTCCTGCACCCAACAACACCCTTGATCTACTTTCCACAAAGGAGCCAATGACTGTGTTGAAACATAAACCACCTCATGTCATGTATGCATCCCAATTTGTCCCTGTCCTCATCTTGTCTTTAACCCAATACTAACCGAATGCCTACTCTGTGCTAGTTCTGGGCTGGGTATTTGGAATAATCCAGCTAACAAGTCAGATGGAGATCCCTGACGTCATGAGGCTTATTTTCTACCATGAGGAGGTAAATTAAAAATAAAAATAACAGCTAAATTATATAGTATGATAAAGGTGATGAGTGCTCCGGGACTTAAAGCAAGAGTAGATCTGAGGATGTAGCTTGGCGGTAGAATACTTGTCTTGCATGCGTGAAGACCTGGGATTAATCTCTAGCACTGAGAAACAAAAGAAGAGAGAAGGAAAGAAGGAAAGTGAGTAAGCAAGTGAGCAAGATAAGGGGGATTTGGCATTAAAAGCTAAGTTATGAGAGCTGTCATTTATAATAAAGTGGCCAGCGTAATCTTCCTTAACGAGATGACCTCTGAAAGGGACAGGGGCAGATGCCAGAGGGAGGGAGCAGTGCTCCAGGCAGAAGAAGCAGCAGTAGGAAGGCCCTAAGGCAAGAATGTGTGCTTGGAACACTCCAGGAACTTCAACCAAGGAAGTGTGGCTAAAGCAATGTGGGCAGTACAGAATGCAACCGTCACTGTCCAGTTGTGTACTCCTTAAACACTCTGCTAATACTACGATACTGGCACTGCTTATTTGTACTACTTCCACCACCACTGACAATAACAAAATAACTGACTTCCATACAGATATATTATCGTTATTATCATTGTTATCGTTATTGTTGTTGTTATTTCGCCTGATTTCTTTAGAATGCACATTTCATGAGTGGACGGAACTTGCTTTATTCAGTTTTTTGGTGTCTAGAACAGTTCCTGGCACACGGTAGACTAAGAAATATTTGTTGAATACATGAAAAAGATGTACCAGTCCATGTCATCAACTATGTAATGACTAAATAATAACCATGCACTGAGAGAAGCAGCAGAAAGATTAACCCAGGGTAGCTCATCATAGAACCATGCCATCGTTCCATTATTTTTCTCTTAAGAAGTTATATGAACATGTCATCTGAAATGCTTTAAATGGTTATTCAATGATCCTTACGCAAATTATACATTTATCTTTTATCTGAATGATTGCTGTAAAAGTGATCTAATATCCTGGGAGAAGTTTTTCTTTTGAAGTAAAATGGTGACACTGACAATCTTTACTTTTGCCAGAAGAAGTCTGATATAAAGGTTCTTTCCTCATGAGGGTAAAATTTGATCGATCTTATTAAATTAATTCCTTACCCACTGCCTTGAAAACCAGTACCTTTCCACTAAACAAGCAAATACGTCCGGTAGCTCGTTTAAGGAAGAACATTTCCCTTTTCTGTCTAATTTATAACCTTCATTGCATGTGATTCATTTTTAGTATTACTAGCACTGAAGATTTCATGGTTATTGATGAAAGTGGGTTTCTGAAAGAATGGAGAATTCGGTGTGAAGGATTCAACCCAAGGAACAATTTTTAGGTCATTTAGGGTAATAATTGAGTGGGATGATATTTCCTTCATAAGTGAGAGCTAAAAGGTGGACTTGCTAAATTCAAATAGCCACGGTATTTCTAAAGATAAGTGAATCTGGGCTGGTTACTCATAGTAATTCTTTTTGTCATTTTAATGATGAGGGAGGTATCACAAAGGCCAGTTTTAATGATCAAAATAATATGTGTAAATGAAAGTCAGTTGGATAGGATCTATACAGTAAATCTTTTAGAAAGAAATGTATTTTCCAAGGTAAATGAAAACTAATATTGACATTCTTAAATTCTAAAAAAAAAAAAAAGCCATCCATACTCACAGGCAAGAGAGTCAATAGATTTTTCAGGTCTTGATTTTAAAGCTTTTACTAATAAAATCCTTCTTATGTCATTAATTTTAACT